CAGCCCGGGTTGAGGGACCCCCCCCCCCCCCCCCCGTGCACAAATTTCATGCACCGGGCCTCTAGTTATTTACAATTGCCAAAATCTGGAAACAGCCCAAGTGCCCATCAGGAGATGAGTGGATAAAAAAGCTATGGTACATTTACATAATGGAATACTACTTAGGTATAAAAAAAGAAGTAACTCTTCCCTTTTGTGACATCATGGATGGATGTGGAGATTATTATGCTAAGCAAAATAGGCCAGTCAGATAAAGACAAATACCATATGATCTCACTTATATGTGGAATCTAATGAACAAAATAAACTGACCAACAAAATAGAACCAGAGGCATGGATACATGGAACAGACTGACAAATGTCAGAGGGGAGGGAGTAGGGGGACTGGATGAAAGGAGAAGAGATTAGCCAAAGAACATAAATGCATAGCCCATAGACATCAGTGCGGTGAAGGCCAGAGGGAGGGCCTGGGTGGAGGTGGGCAAAGGGGGGGAAGTGGGGGCATTAGTAAAGTAATAGTGTCAACAATAAAAATAAAGTAAAAAAAAAAAAAGGATTGGAAGTTCCATTTACTGCTGGTAATGACAGCATTTTCTCCTTGGTCAACAGGTAAAAGGAACAGGAAGGATGCTCACATTCTGCTTCCTGTCTTTTTGTAAATAAGCCTGAATTTACATGGCCATTCTAATGACATTAACTTATATGGTATGGAAATGGGTTTGTGTGTCCTCAGAGTAAATGTGTCTACCTTTGAGTTGCTGTTTTTTAGTGTCCATATTAGTAGAGGTTGGTAGTGAAACATTATTGATGTGATAAATAGGTAATCTCACTTAGATTTCATGTATCATCAGATATAGACTGAGGGCATTATGATAGTTATTTGGCACATTTTAAATTCATTTCTCCCTCCTCTTTGTCTCCCCGTCCTTCTCCCTTCTCTTCTATCTCTCTATCTCAGATAATATTTATTACCAAAAATGGCCTTTCTGTGTTAGTCATAGATGTCTTAAATAGAGGGGACATGGTGTGACCATAGGATACAACATTTTTACAAGTAGTGTTCCTTTGTTACTATATTTGAAGATCAGTAGCAGTTTATAAGTGTATATATTTGGCAAAGGATTTTAGAATAACCAGAATTATCTGGGAGTAAATATTTTATTCTTTATTTTTATTGTTTGCATTTTATTGAATTTATTGGGGTGACACTGGTTAAAATTATACAGGTTTCAGGTGCACAGTTCTACAAAACTAATAAATAAGTTTAACAAGGTTGCAGGATACAAAATCTTAATAGAAAAATCAATTATACTTATAAATACTTGCAATGAACAATCCGAAAATGAAATTAGAAAAACAATCCATTTATAATAGCATCAAAATTAATAAAATAGTTAACAATGAACTAAGTAAAAAAAGGGCAAAACTTACACTGAAAACTACAAAACACTGTTGAAAAAATTAAAGAAGATCTAACAAATGGGAAGATATCCTGTGTTGATGAATTGGAAGCTCAGTACTAAGATGCTAATACTACCCAAAACCACCTACAGATTCAAGGCAATCCTTGTCAGAATCCCAGCTGGCTTCTTTGCAGAACTGACAAGCTGATTCTAAAATTCACATGAAGATTCAAGGGACCCAGCAGAGCCTAAATAATCTTGAAAACGAAAAACAAAGTTGGAGGACTCACACTTCCAGATTCAAAAGACTGGGCACTGGCCTTAATTTAGTCTATACTTTGGACACAAATATTCCCTCTTTACTTTAGAGGCAACAGTACCTATTTCCTAATTATCTACTATCTCTGTTTCCTTAAAACTGTTATTTATATAAATTTTGGTTTATTAAACTTAGTTTTATTAATTTTTTTCTGCATAGTTAATAAAATTAGGTAGTTAATACCAAGGCAGTAAAAAGGAGCAGGACAATTATAATTTGCATTATTTGATACTTTTTTATTAAGATACTAGAAGCCCAGCGTGTGAAATCGTGTGGTCCCCCCCCCCCCCCCGCCACCTGCACGCACTGGTCCACCAACGCGCCTCACCCACCTGCGCTGGTCTTTGGTTGTTATGGCGGCGTTAGGGCCCACAGGCCTTTTATAATATAGATTTTCAAATGTATTTTTCTATTACTGTCCTGTAGTTTATACAAGAAAGAAATTTAATAAATTAATAAAAAAAATGGATCAACAGCTGGTATTTGTGAAATGGGCCTGGTGTCTCATGGTATGGGCCAGTAGGGTTGGCCTTTAATAATGACTGCCAAGTATAGAAGTGGCTGCTGTTGGTTTTAAAGAGGTCATGGTTACCAGATC